AGACTTCTGGTTTGAATAGATTTTCCATTCAATGTTTCTAATACAAAATATATTAAATCGATTTGGATTTATTCTTTAAATAGTAAATTTTTTAAGTCAGTTTATGAGCAAAAACCTGCGAAATTTCTGTACAATTTTAGACGATCTTTAAAACTAGATGCTCAAAAATTGTTCTAATTTTGATATCAGTACTTATCAAATCCAACTCCAGATTTCACACCGAGAGCAATGTTGATTTTCCAAAAAAAAAATAGAAAAATCTACCTGCCTTAATGTCTCATGTCTGCTAACTTCGTGCAAGAAATTTTTAAAATAATTTTTTGGCTTAAACAGCCATAACTGTTTAAGGCACAAATCCTGAGTATGACGATAAAATACATCCAGCAGCAAGGCCTCTCTGATCAAGAGATTGGAGGTTTTGTATAGCGTGGAATCACCTCTTAAATGCTGTTGTTCCCAGGCCCACCTTGATACGGGGTGGTAGCAACTGTTAGGGTTCCAGCTATGGGCAAATAGTGAAATCCCAAACAAAAAAAATATTGTAAAATACCAGTAATATATTTTTATAAAAAATGACCAACAATGCATTTTTATAGCATAATGACCATAAATGCAACACATTTTTGTAGTAAAATTACCAGTAGGATATTCCTTACCAACAATACATTTTATCATCTTTATAAAATTATTTACAAACTATCTGTAGTTGAAGGCACGCAATTTCATTAGAAATATTTAGATTTCTGCATTAAATAACCCACAGAGGTGCTGATATGCCGCTTAACAAAATCAACCAACTAAGATAGAGATCACTATTTACTGAGAAACAGTGATTTATAAAAATGCGATACCTTAATGTCCAAACAATATCCTTGATTCGATTGTTTAGGAGGGATATCAAACAGGTGAATATAATACAGGTAAATATAACAACATCCTTCATTCAATGATCAAAGAGATATATAGACAAAATAAAATCATATCTTCAACGATACGACAATGGATCTACTATTTTCAAACATTTTCTTTATTTTATAACCAAGGAGCGACACGACAAAGATCAATAGACACATTCTATTATCATACGATATTCTTTAATGAATGATCTCGAAGAATTATAAGAAAAGTAAACGAATTCCTCTATTTTCAAACGACAGCTTTTATTCAATGAGTTAAGTCATGCAAGATACTATTCTGGAAATTATCAATTGACGGGCTTTTATTCCATTATTTAGATTTTAAGCTGTTCTTTTTTTCCGAAATTGAACTTTGTTTCGATTACCTTTCCTTTTTTATGTAGAATATTCAACAAGGCGACAACACAAAATACATTTTTGTAGAAGATTTTCTGGACATTTTCCTTATTTCATGTTCCAAAATTGCCCAGGAGACTTTTATAAGGAAATCTGCAATGGGATTTATCACGCATAAATGAACTTTTGGAAAAAAAATGGTAGTCCCTAAGACCCTCACACGTACATTATGGTAAAAAGCGTTTTACTAACTAGACTCTCACCATTCTGTGAAAGTCAACTTTTAAAAACTGAATTTGTTTTTCCTTTTCGATAATGGGTGCTATGATGGCATAAATGTCATCAAACAAATGGATGAGATCGCACTTTTATCAAATAGAAAGTTGTACACATGCTAATTTGACCTCACAGCAGTAGAAATTTCCCTTTTCTCTTCCACCACAAACTGTCTTTCAAGTTCTGGATCCAATGAATATCTTGAACTGATAGAGGAATTATATCGACCCAGAAAGTCTTATATGTCTGATGGAGAACGCCAAAACTGAGCCACCTCAAACACCAACAGGAATGCGACACGGAGGAAAGCTGTTTAATCTATTCCAAGATTCTATGCTATGCTATGAATAAACACAGATATATAGAAATGGGCGTAGAAAATTTCAATATATCTTACTACATTCTAAACAAATAATACTAATAGGAAACAGCGCTTTAGTTTTCCTTTAAAGTCTATTGTAATGGCAATGAGAGAGGTTATATTGATGATTCATATTTGGTATAAAAATTACCGTAAACAAGAAATCAACATTCTTAACTAGGAGTTAAGATAAACCACTCCAAAATATAAACTATGATCTACAATTGGAATTAAAGCAGGTATCGTATATGTCCTGATTCCATGATAAAAATTCACAATGTCCAATTAATAAACTCTAAAGATTTCAAATACGTCTGTGTATGAAGCAGTTACGACATATTTAGTATAGTAGAAAAAGAAATTGATCATATAATTGGTTGCGCTAGAGAGATTTTCGTCTAAAACTGCAAGAGGTGAACATACCAAAATATTAGCCTGTGAACTTGAGTTATGTTTTTAAATACTGTCATCAGGTTTAGGTTCTCATATGGATGTCATGTATGGTGTCCAACTCGTACGGAAATATCTAAACTGTCATCTATTTTTTCTACGTACAACGTGTGAAAGCACATGCAATGCCCTGCCCCCGTCAGGTCCCAACCAGGGGATGCAACAAAGTTTTGGTGGCTAAAGCCATACTGCCACTCCTGGCATGACCAGCAGCTTTTGCCACCGGACAGGGTATTGTTTTTTTGCGTAGATGTGCCAGTCTTACAATTTCTTTTTTTACAACTGCACGTCAGAATTTCAACGTTGTGTTAAAAACGTTTGCTTTTGATCGTTAACCAATACACAACACGTACTTAGCGACCATTGACGTAGAATGGAAGGTAAACAGATGTGTTTCCCGTCGGAAGTAGCACTGTGTTGCGATCATGGTTTTAATCTCGATACCTTTTGAGTCTGGAAACGATATAAAGAACGCTTTAGGCTCCGGCCAGTGATGCCTACTTTCAAAAGGCATGAAACGATTGACCACCCAAGGAATCAACGACATCCAACCTCAACAGCACATGACACGTCCATCCTTTTTCCACGCACTTGGAACGCAGCGATTCGTAGTGGTTTTTCATTCGCTCGTGCGCCTCCTCCCTGTTCTCCTCCCATGGAATTAATTCTACTAGGTGGACACACGTTTTTGAATCAAACCGTTTTCTCAGATTAAGAATTAAAAATTTCTTCAAGCGAAAGAATTCTTTAAGTCTTAAAGAAGACCATGTTTCATCAGACCCAGTAGATTACCGCTCTATGTCTTTCATGATTATTGTTCGAATGTGCTCTTCGTTATGGTACCAAGACTTTTTGAATTTAAGCGCAGTACTAGACTAGCGTTGAGATCGCATCAAATTTACAGTTGAAATGGCTAGTAGTCATGACTTCTATGCTAACAGTTGAACTCCCTTCCGGCTCGATGGTTTCCAGTAAACTTTAATCTGCAAAAGTTTCAATGCAATGTCAATCGCTATCTACTGTCCACCTGATTACCTTCTTCTCTTTCTGCCCATGATTAATGTTTATTTTCCTGAAAAACAGTTTTAAGAAAAATTTAATAAATTTCAACCTACAGTAACTATAAATGTTCGGCCAAGGAATGCCTAATGTTACCTGGATGGAAGCGGACAATCTTGTCATTACCATTAGCTATGAGAATCACTTAATATTTTTTAAACTCACACACAGTTTTGATGTTTGGAATAGGACTCAATCTTAGAGGAAAGAATACAGTTTGTTTGTTTTGCAAATAATCATCAGTTAATTGAATAATTGAAGTGTACTGCTTTAAAGATGAGGCCATCACGGATGTCACGTGATTGTGATATCATCTACAACTTCTTATTTAACGGCAGACTTGTTCTGGAAATAAAGGTTGAAGGAGATTTTCAACATGAGTATTAAAGCGACACATAGTGAACTGGAATTATGGTTAAGGTAATCAGAACTTCTTTACAATTTGACACGACCAGAGAAGCTCGCAAATATATACAAAAATTCACAAAGCAGGAGTAAAGTCTATATAGGAGACATGACAAAGAAAACATTTTGTAAGCAATTTTCTAAAGTTGGATATTTTTATGCGTCTGGTCTTCCTAAGTGAAAATCATCAATAGTTGATTTTACAGATGTGCGATCAGAGATGGAGCCGAATTTCTTTAACCATGTAGAGTGACAGTTCGGGGTCGCTGTAAAAAGAAATGGGTTGTGGGGGAGTCCTGCTTTTGATCATTAATTAAAAAATACGCTTTTAAATAGGCGCCCGAGGGGTCGTCAGTGATGTTTTGATTTGGTTCATCAGGGAGTTTCGGGTCTTTCAACATCATACTCCCCATCACCAAATCGGCCCAATCAGGGGAGATCAACCCCTGATTCCCCCTCACAATAAAACGCTAACAGCTACTCTGGCCTTTTTAAAGAATTAGACGTAGAAAGACCACATATTCTGCACATCCGATTGGATGTTTGTAACAACCAATCCGCTGCGTGAACTATCGTTAAATGTCCCGCGGTGGGGACTGGCTTCTTTTCTTATTTCGGTGGATTGCAGTTTATATGGATAACCGAGGAGGTAATCTTAATGTTCCTAAGTTTAAACCTTTTCCTTAAGTATTGTATAATTTAATTACTTGCCGTTTTTATTTTATTTTATTTGTCTTTTTTTTTCTTTTCTTTTGGCGGGGAAACTTAAACTCGACCCTACTATCACATTTTATCGTTTAGCCTTTTCCTTAATATTATTACAGGTTAACTTTAAAATTCGCAAATTTAAAATAATAATTGTCCATAAACATGGCGTATACTTTTCTGTACACACAAAAATGAAATTAAAAATAAAATAAAAGTCCAATAAGCACTATAATGTTCCTTAACATTGATTTAAATTATTTACAAATTTGAAGTCGTTAAATACAGTAGACTACTAAGTGCTATTTGAATATATCAAGTATTAACGAAACTTCATATTATATTTATATATATGTATCGCTTAAAACCGATGACAATTAAACTAATAAAATAAAATCAAAATAATATACGAACGTTATATATATTTAGACAAATTACGGAAGTATTATCAGCATTTGTCCTATCCAAGTAGAAAAGCTTAAAAGATTTACCTGAATCAAACGTAATATCAAAAGGTTCATCGTGTAAAGCGAGAAATTCTTTCATGGAAATGAGACTCCCGTCGTCTTCCTTCAGCAGATAATTCAAAACAGCTGTGAATAAAATAAGTAAAAATTGAAAACGAAAAACTCACGTTTAGTTCTAAAAGCGGCTAACAACATGAAATAAATAAATAAATGAATAAAAAGCACTCCAAAATAAAAAAATAAATAAAGTAATAAAAACAAATAAATAAATTAATTCCAAAAATATACAAATAAAAATGACGGCTCAAAAAGATAACATAAATACATCCAAAAATTAATACATAAATGCATTAATGATCAGGAAAAAAATACCAAAATCCAAATCCAATAACTGATGAAATTAAATAAACGAGAAAAGGAGAAAAAAGAAATACACTTCGCCATCAAACCAAAAAAAAAAAAAAAGTTCTCCCGGAACGGATCGAGAAAGTATATGAAGCCTTCAAAAGATAATAAAAATAAAGATAAATATAAAACTGTCGCCCCAAAATTTAAATAAATGCATAGAAAAAATAAAAAAAATCTTACCAGAAAAGATAAGAAGTAAATAAGGCGGAGAAAGTTTGATGTAGGTGAGCACAACGTCTAAACACTAAATTAAATAAATTAATCTCAAATGAATAAAATATACCACACAAAAATTTAAAAATGTCTAAATACATCTAAAAAAGAGGAAAGTAATAGCACCTGAACTTATAAAAAGAAAATGCAGCAAAATAAATTAAAAGGAAACGAAGATGAAATAAGTAAATGCAAGTGGAAAAGATAAAAATTATGAAAGGCACACGAAAAAGATAGAAGTAAATGCATTCAGCTCAAAAAGATAAAATCTAAATTTAGTGCAAAATTATAAAAACGAATTCGCATGAAAATAAATAAAGATAAATAAATACAATTGAAAAAAGTGAAAATAAAATAAATTCCATCCCAAAAGATAAGAATAAACAAATCTCGTTCAAAATGCATTTAAAATGAATAAATTGAGCGTATTTTATTTAAACTATTGTTGATGAAATAGTTAAAAAGAAAATCTAAAAAGATAAAAGCAAATAAATCCAACCCAAAAAGTTTAGTCACAACTAAAAGATAGAAGTTAAAAATAAGGTCCTAAAAGTTAAAAAATAAATACAAAACATAAGAAAAGGTAAATGCATTACAAAAATATAAAAATGAATCAAAGAAACCGAGAAAATTAAAATGAATAAACGCAGTCGAAAATGAAAATAAAACGAAGCCCAAAATGATGAAAATAAATAAACATAGACTAAAAAGATGAAAATTAATAAATTATAATCCGAAAGTTTAAAAATAAGTAAATATATCCGAAAATGATAAAAATGCAGTTTAAAAATATCAAATGAATGTATATAGCGATTTTTCAAGCGAAGCTTAGATGTGGCGCAAGGACGAAAGTGGGGGTGATCCAGTGAGGATTGAACTCACTACTCAATCGTAATTTTTCTAGTGAGTTAAGTTTGCTGACACACCGACTCAAGGTGTCCAAAATGTATGTACATATCATGTATGTATAAAAGCACTCTAGCAGAACGCTATCATGTAGCATTTGCTTGTTTCATAGAATCTATCTTCAGAGAAAACTTTACTGCATCTGAGTAACGTTTGTAAACCTTTCTCTTTTTTCTAGAGAAAGACTGATTGACTGATTTGTTTTTTGTGACTTATCAACGCTTTGTGAGTTATTTTTGTACTAGCAGAAAATAATTCACCCCTCCAAATAAATTTGAATTTCAGAATCTAAAAAGAGAAATTTATTTTATAAACTTTTCGGTTAGAGAATTTAGAAAAAAAAAACTTTTGTTCTTTAGATTAAAATCCTAATAAAGTCTCTTTGAGCACTCTGCTTAATTATTCTAGGTTTTCATTGTGTAGGGCTGCTTGTTCGGATTGTTTGAACACTTTCTTTTAACACTGTGTGTTCTGGTGAACAAAAGAATGTTTCCAATCTAAACTGAGCTAAATTATTAAACAGGTCCATTTTATTTAAAATTTCTCTCCAAATATCCCACAGGGAATAATTAAACAAGTGTTAATGAAATATCCATCTGCATTAGAAATAAATTTATCCTCGAGTGTGTGATCCGGACTCAATTTCAAGTTGACATTTACTTGCCGCGTATGTACGAATTGTGTGAGCGAATTGACACTAAATTCAACATTCGACGCCTAACGTGTATCAGCCACAGGTTACTTGAACTGAAAAGCTTCAAGTAAACTTTGATTATATTCATCATAATTATTTCATGTGCACAATTTACGACTTGCAAGTTACATCAATGGTCGTAATTGCAGCTGCCAATTAGTTTTGCTAACAACTTAATGATACTCGCTTCTCTTTTATTTTTTATTTTGTTCGTTTGTTTTCTTTTTCCTTGGATAAGAACACAAGTGGAAATCATCAAGCTGTTAAGTATTTTTTCTAATACGTGAATAAGATGAATTAAAAGGTCAACTGCTGAGCGAAGAAATGTTGTCCGTTACGTTTCTAGTTTAAAACGTGTAGGCATCATAGATTTTACTCGGACACGAACGTACATATTGGAAATTGCGCCAATTTAATATCTGAAGATGGGTAAATTGTTAATTGAAAAATTCAAATCTGTACTAAAGTTAAATTCAATACTGGAGTGCTGCTGGAGCAAGCCGTTGAGGAATAAATGTCGATAAAAGCCAATAGAAATTTAACTACACATTGACTTTAAAGAGCAAAAACATTTGTCAATCGGATTGCAGACTTCCCTTGAAAATCAGTATCCAAAAGCCTGGTTTGTATAATAGATAGATAGATAGATAGATAGATAAATAGATATTCCCTGAATGAGAAAAAAGTAATTATAGAAAGACGATAACGACGATCGAGGTAAAAACGTTGCCATCGGTTGCTTGCGTGATAACTGCTAGCTAGCTCGATAGGAATAGATTCACATAGGATATACGCCTGCGTGATAGAAAGATGTGATTTTTGGAGCAATCAGGTGAGTATCGAACTCACTTGTAATTAATCTAGCAAGACAAGCTCGCTAATCATTACACCACGGCGAAATGTAATATGACGATTTTTAAGTGTAACTTAGATGTGACACAAGGTCGAAAGTACGGAACATCCCATGAGGATCAAACTCACAACTCAGTCGTAATTATTCTAGCGAGACAAGCTTGCTAACCATTACATCCATCGATAGATTGAGAAAAATAGAGAAAGTCGACGACGGTGGTGGTGACGATCGAAGTAAAGAGGCTGCCTTTGCTTATTTGCGTAATAATGAAGAGACTGGAACATATAGGTATCTAGTTAGCTAACTAGCTATCTACTTATCTAGCTATCTAGCTAGATAGCTATCTTTCTATATATTTTTCTCAATCTGTTCATATCTATCTAGATTGAGAAAAATATATGAAAAGAGAGGGGAGAAAAAGACAGAGAGTGGATGATCGCAACAAAGGGGGCTTCCATCGCTAGCTTGCGTGATAGATATTAATAAACTGAAACAGAACAGTTACGAGCAAAACTAAAGAGATATTAACAGTCTGACATATACCTAAGCAGATCAAGACGGAGTTATATGAACACATACACACACACACGCACACACACACATGCATCCAAACTGGCTGAAAAAATATGAAATATTGATTTGTTATCTCAGGCCCCCTCAAGCCATGTCTGAAGACGTCAAGTGAATAATGAAAGATGATGAAATGAAAATTAATTTCCAACCAAATATGATCACCAATGTAAAACCCGGATTTATGACCTCTTGAAAAATGGGGAGGTTATAAAAAAAAAGGATGTTTATTATACCAACTTTCAGTAATCATAATATGGTCACCAATTTGTATTGTCGTTTCTTAGGAGGAGATGTTTTCTACAGATATCACTATCAGCAACTATAAACTGGCGAGAGTGTTTGACGAAACCTAAATGAAATGTCCAAGGGGGGGAAATAATTTTAAGTGGGAGTGGCTTAATAATTGTGGGGGAGGGAATTTTATCAATGTGCATTAAACGAGAGGAGAAATGAGTAAAAGAGGTGGTCGCATAATCATTCTGAATGTCCCCAAAAGTGTGAAATTAATAAACAGGGTAGTCTTATAAAAATGTTGGGCAGTATCATAAAATTTCCTCAAAATAAATAAACGCTCCACTGTTTTCATACACTTTTCCGGGTGTCCCCTGGGATCTGTAGTATTAATCCAGTGATAATCTTATAAGCGAGCAAATAATTTGATGGTAATTGTTTGGATGTACACTTCGCTATGGTACATAGACTTTTGGAATTTAACCGCAGTACTAGATTGGTGTCGAGATCTCATCATTTGACAGTTGAACTGGATAGATGTAATCGTAAATTCTATGCTAACAGTTTCTTTTCTCCCCTTTTCGCTTGTGGCTTCTGGTTCTATACTTTCCAGTCAACTGGAAAAAAGTTTTAATGCAATGTCAATCGCTATCTACTGTCATCCTGAATATTCTTTTCTCTTCCCGCTCATTATTAATGTTTCTTTTCCTAATTCTTCATTTTAGTGGCTTTACTGCCTTGCATTGGGTGATACTGATTAAAAGAAATAAAATATGCGAAATGTTATCTTCACTGGTAATTAGAAAAGTCCTTTAAAAAGACTAATAATTCAATGCCGATGGGATTGACTTTTTATTTCTCTTCTTAAATGGTCTTGGCATTCTCTTACAATAACTTATTTATTATTACTTGTATATCTTCGATATACCGTGGAGCTTCAGGACATGGAAAATCATGGCTCTCCACAACTTCCTATCATTTGTACCTCTTAGCGGTGTTTGTCTTCCTACTATCCTTCCCACTCTTTGTTCTACCAACCATTTATACAAGCTTGTTAAGTTGGTTAATCGCTGATTCCCGCTGTCCCACTTACCTTCACTATGTCCTGTGAGTGACAATTTTTTTCCTTTTTGTGAGTCCCCAATAAATTCAACTTGCTCTTTCTCATTCTAAGTATAAGTGTTCTTTGTGATTCCATTTTTCTTAAAATTTCCCCGTTGGTTACATACGCTGGCCATGATATTCTTA